GAAGTGTCCTCCTCCTATGGCTGCTTTGTTGCCCATGCTCAGCTCAGATTGAGATACAGGCAGTGGTTATAATCCCACTTTTCTCTTACACTATGGGAAATTAAAGAAATATTTCACTACAGGAATTTAAGGGAAGGGTTCTGTTAAAAACTGGATATTTAAGGGAAGACTTTCTATAATCTCTATTATATCTATCTATTACCTTCATTATTTAATAGAATAAAAAGGGGGGAATGTGAAGGGCCGGAAGTTATGTCATCCTGGAAATGACATCACCAGAGGTGAGCTCACCAGAAGCAGAAGTGACAGCACCGGATAGGAGATCACACGGGAAGTGACATCATTATGAGCCTGTGTACATAAGTTGTGCTCAGAAAATAAACGGCATCACTTGTCTGCAGTGAGTGAACCTCCTGATCCCAGCTTTGGTTTCCGTCTTTCTTGTATCTTTCTCTGTGTTTCCCTTAGTCTCCTCATCACTCCTCTCAGGTTTAGCTGGTTTGTGGAGCTGGTCTCCACACCCCACTTGGCCTCTAATGGCTTGGGTGGAGAACAGATTCATAGTTTTTCACGGTGCTTGGCTTAAGTGAAGAGGCTACTGTGTAAAATAATGTTTTCTGCCTTGCTAGCCTGCCCTTTCCTGATCCACTGACCAGAGGGCAGGCTTTTCTTTTTCTTTTTCTCTGCATCCATTGGCATTTGCAGGTTGCTAGCTCTCTCAGCTGGAAGTCTGAGATACATTAGGCAATAGGTAACTCAGGGAATTCACCCGTCATTCCATGAGTTCTATAATCTCTAAGTGATCTGCCTTTTCTCCATTTTTCAGTCTCATGTTTGTTTACATATAATGTTTAGTGTTTTTAATCATACATAGCAGGAGAAATAAGGCAAAGTACATTTATCCATCCATTTATTTTAGGTTGGATAATCTGATTTAGATTGGGTAATTTGGGCAACCATAGATATAAAAAATGGATTTTATATCTAAAATCTATTTCTTATAGACAGATATACCTGGGTCTTGCTATTTATTCATTTTGGTAATCTCTGCCTTATTAATTGGTATGCTTAGAACATTAGTATTTAATGTAATTATTGCTATGGCTATTTAAATCTACAACTGTATTAGTTTTGTTCATCCTCTGTTTTTTGTTCTGTATCTTTTCCTGCCGTTTTGGAGTATTTGAACATTTTTAAAACAATCCACTTTATATCTTCTAGTTACACCTCTTTACATTTTTTAGATTGTTCTAAGAATTAAAACATATATTCTTATCTTTCTACCTAGTTAATACTGTACCATTTCATGTAATACATAGAAAATATATACACATATATGGATATGTATCTAGTCCATAGGAAAAAACAAAGTTTTAACCTTGGTTTTATTTTAAAGAAATTAACAAGAAAAAATGGTCTTTTACATCTTCCTACTTAGCATTACTCATACTTTTTGGTCAAATCTGTACTTCTCAAAACTAGTTGAAGATTACCAAAGTGTGCCATTTTCCCCCTTACATGATGAACACAAATTGCATACTAAGATTGTTCCTTTTTCATTAACTCATAACAAGTAAAGAAGTAACATTTGGCACCAATGTGCTTGTAAACTAAAACACAAATTTAAGCAATGAAACTTGATGGCAGTATCAGCTTAACTTGTTTATGACAGTTGTGTTTGTTTTTCATATTATCAATTGTAATTTTTAAAAAATGTCAGATATTAAAATTCTTGTTGGAACTTCTCTAAATCATAAACATCTTTGTAATATGAAATAAAGTAGCAGCTATTTTCAACTCATTTTTAAGAATACATCAGTATGTCTTCAAGGTAAGCAAGAAAGTTAAGTAAGGCATAACTATATGTCTGATGCTAAAAACTAAAGAACATCTTATGTCTCTTATTAGTCCAGTGGGAGGTAGGAATAGTTGGAGTTGTAAACAACTCATAAAAATGAAGTGACATGTGGGAAACTTCAAATATTAAGTAAATACTTACTGAGCTTCTACTATATGCTAGACACTGCTAATAAGTGGAGTTATCAACTCCTTTCACATTGTTGTCCCAGAAACTTACTATCTAGTAGGGGAGAAAGACAAAAAATTAAACTCTTATTAAAACGGAAGAAGGTTGAACTTTACTATCTTGAAGAAAATGTGGAACCAGTGAAAGATTTTTAATAGAAGAGAAATACAAACCTCAGAGACTGGCTAACCCACCACCCAGTCCCTTTTCTCCCTTGCCCACTTTTACTGTAGAAGCGAAGAAATGTAAAAGCTCACATTCCAAGCCTCCCATGCAGGGAGGGATAACCATGGTGACCGTTATGGACAGTAAAACATAAATCTACCCAAAAAGGCTTCTGGCAAAGTTTTTTTTGATGAATAGCCATGACTTTCTCCACCCCTTGTCTTTTTGTCTTAAATTTAGCAGATCGCAAACTGTATCAGACGTCATGTAACCTTAAGGGAAGGACCAAAAGCATCCCAGATAACACAGGAATGACACTACTGAGCTACTCAAACCTTACAGCCATTTTCAGATTTCTTGTTATTCTAGATTATAAATCCCTGTGGTGATATAAATCAGGTTTTCTCTTATCTGAGTCTGAATGTCTTTCCAATAAAAGTTAAAAGAATAAATTTCTATTTTAGAATGGCCATTCTTGAGTTGATGTGGAGGATGGATTAAGGGGCAAGAATGAAGGTAGGGAGACTTGTTAGGAAGTTATTATTATACTGTAAGTAAGAACACCAGGTACCTGAACTAAAATAACTGTAGTGGAGAGTGAGGAAAATACAGATTATAGAGAACTTTAAAAGGTAAGAAAGAGCAAAAAGATTTCAAATGTATGTCTTCTGAGTTTCTTACAAGTTTGAGCAACAAAGCCGATGGTTGTGTCATTCTCCAAAACAGATACAGCGAGGTATTGATAAGCTCAGCTTTGACACACTTCTGGGACAACAATGTGAAAATGATTAGAAGGCGGTTCATTGAGGTCTGGATTAGAGAAATTCAGATTTGAAAGTAACCATCATATAGGGTAGTACTGTTAGATAAGACTCTAATATAACCCATATATGTAATTCTAAAGTAAAATTAAATAAATGAAATTAATTTTAATATTTAACTCAATGTATTTAAAATATTTCAACTATTACCATTAAAGTTATTAATATAGTAATTTACACACTAAATCTTTAAAATCTGATGTGTATTTTACACTTAAAGCACATCTCAATTCATCTGATTGCTTTTTCATCACAAATACTTGATCTGGATATAAACTTCATAAACTTACAGTTTTAAAAAGTGTGTTCATATACCCAAATTGTTCCAAAAGTTAAGCTTTCTAATAGCTGAAAGTCATTTTCCTTTATTAATTACATCCACACTGAAAAAATCCTCATCTTTTTAGAAAGAATTGATTTTCGTAAACTTTGTATCAGCTCAGAATTAACATTGAATTCAGAGTTACTGAGTAAACTGAAAGGTAACGTTAAATTTACCAATAAATAAAACATTTTTCAAATTTTTCTTGTAGTTTTTGTAATAAATTTATGTAACAATGTCAAATACTGTTAAAATATTATACATAATGTCACATTAGAAGAATGTATAAAATTATTCTGGCTTTTATTTTTAAAAGTTTTAATTTCAAATGAATTCTAGCTCAGGTAGAGCACAAATAGGCTTTTACCTTTCCTTGGAGCTTCAAATTTCAAATGCATATCCCATCTGATACTGGGGAGAAAACAAACCACCATTTCTACTTTATAATTTCTAAACTATCTGGCTACCATTTTTTGACCTAGTATTAACAGTACAATAAGTTCTGAAGAACTCAACAGGCAGGATCACTAAATTCATTCTTATATTGAAGTGATTCATACATGTCTGCTCATATAGAACACTCAACAACTGTACCCATGACACCTGAAATCATTTCAGAAAACTGAGCACAAATATTTTCAAACTGTGTCATACAGTAGACTGAAGATAGAGATGAAACATTGGGCTCATTTAAAAATTCCAATGAAATCTGACCTTTTACCTAACCTAGCTAGCACATCATTTTCTGTGATAGAAAATATTTTCTCATGTAGCTGAAACTCCTCTGACACATTGTAGAAGATTGAAAAACAGCTACACAAGTTTAACTTTTAGGCCTTGAATTGAAAGTACTTCTTCCTAAGTTTTCAAGTCCTGTGAATTGTTGATATTGTTAGAAAGGTTCTGCATTCTGTGAGCAATACTTGGTGACTTAACTACACTTTAATTAAACATCTGTTTTAGGCTTTAACTCATCATTGTCTAACATCTGTAATTATTTTACTATCTATTGGCCTAAAACTGGTTTTTCATGCGAAAATCTACACTGTTTTATATCTGGCCAAACTTACCAGCTCAACCTTTTTAAAAAATTTTTTGCTGGGCATTTAATTCTGATTTCAGCTACATTTCCCACTTTTTTAGCCTTTGGACAATAACTTCACTCATTCTATTATGCATTTGCTGAAACTGTCTCAAAATTATCTACTTTACTATCTTCTTTGGTTAAATAACAGCTTGTTTTTCTCTGACAAAGCAAAATGCAATTGTCTTTCATCATGAAATCTGCAACAAAAGTCTTTTTTACTGTTATAGTGGTAGCACTAGTTTCTGCATCTCTACTTGATTCTGTTTCAGTATGTCTTCATTTTAAATTAAATTTGTTCATATTCATGCCTAAACTAGAAAAATAATTATAATTAAAATTAGTATTTCAACTTACCAATTACGACTTACATAAGTATCACTGTAATTCCTGTTATCTGTATAAAAAACTCAGTTACATCAACTCATAGAAAAAAATAATTTGCACTAATCCCATCTGTTGACACCAACTTAACCAGTATGTGTTTACAATACCAGACATGACACACAAATTTGACAGCACACTACAATAACCAAATCTAAAGCGATTTAGCAAAGTTAAATATATTTCTAAAAAAAAAGGTTGAGTTAAACATTAAGTATTTATTTCACACTTCACTTAATTTTTAGACATAATTAAAATAAATAAAAATTTCACTTTCTTAGTCCTACTGAGCTCAAGTGCTTAATAGCCACATGTCACTCTAGTGATTACTGTATTAGCAGATATGTTAATGAAAGACAAGCGCCAAAAGGCTTATGGTTATTATTCCATTTCCCTTTTATTTGATATAACTTCCAGGACTCAGGACTTATCTGGGTTGTTATTCTCTAAAAAGTAAAAAGTGGAAATGATTGGATGTTCTGTACCAGACTCCCTGAAATATGTATGGCATGCTCTAGCAGACATGGGCCAATCTCTAAAACACTATAGTTCCTAAAATCAATCATCAACATTATATTATCTCTTTGGAGAATACCTCTTAAACAGCAATATGCCGATATAAGTTTAACAAATGAATTTCAAAAAAATTTTAATGTGTAAATGAAAGATGTGTAGCAAAGAATTTATGAATCATAAAAACAAATACACAACACTCTTTATTCCAAGTTCCAAATAGCCAACTGATTTTCACATAAAGCTTTTGATCTTTGCGGAACTCTTGCATCCATAGCCAGCCTACGGTTGCATTGTGACCGTGATTTTATAAATGGAGTTGCACCCCAGTCTGCTCTTTCTCCAATAAATTTATTGTCATCAAATCTGATATATGATCTATTGTTAAACTATTTCTAACTCTTGTACAAATTTCATTCATTAAATTGAAGCCTCTTGCAGCTTCAGCACTATTGATCACAACAGTGCTAACTACCTTTTTAGCTTTTTGTGTAGATGGAGGAATTGAAACATTGTTTGATTTTACATTACTTTTTACAAATTCCCCAAAATCCTTCAAATCAATTTCACACAGATGAAGTAATTTTTTTTCACCAGCTATCCATGGTGAAGTGATTTCTTCATAAGGCCATGTAGAAAGTTCTAGCAAATCAAAATAATAAAAAATACTGTCATCATGAAGACATAAGTTCATGTGTTGAATTATGTTTTCTAGTAACGTATTCCAAGGAAGGGCATTGAATTTATTGTATCTATTAAATGGAATGTCTTTAAACCTATCTGACTTAATCAAACCTTCAATTTGAGACTCATGTTTTCCAGAATGCATTTTTAAATTTTCCAAAGCTCCTATAGTGCGGTTTGATCAATTTTTGTGCTTTCTGAATGTTAGTTGACCTTAACTGTAGTGCAGCTGAAAGTAGTGAAAATTCTTCAAGAATGTCTATCATTAAAGCAAGGTCTTGTAAGAAATTAATGTTAGCTAACCTCTTTGCCAAACCATAATAATGAGAAAAATGCATATATAATACAGGATATGCACACAATACAGCAGTAGCAGCTTGTAAACTACATGCCACCCACCTTGGTCCCATTACCCGGCCGATTTTAATGATTTCAATTTCAACATCTTTAGCTACAGTTCCTAAAAGTTTGTTCTGATTTTTATTAGATTGATGGTAAATGGAATACATTTTATCAAGAAATACTTTTAAATGATTCACTTGTTTTATTTCCGATATTGAATCATCAAGTGACAACTGCAATCGGTGGTTTAAACAGTTCCAAATAATGATTTCAGGAAAACTTTCCAACAACTTTGTAGCTACTCCAGACTTTTTCCCCAGCATTGTATTAGCACCACCAGAACAAAATCCAATTAAATTTGCTTTCAAATATTTCTTGGTAAAACCACAATCATTTAAAGTTCTCAATAATGTACTGAAAATATACTCTGCTCTCATCGACACTAATTCTTTTAAAGTGACAAATAACATAACTGGTGCAGGAGCTGAATGAACTGTACACTGGAGATAAACCATCAGTGTGCTTTTCTTTGAAACTGTAGATGCCTCATCAATTATGATACAGATTTTGGCATTCTCTTCTACAATATTTTTAAATATTTTCATCTTCATTTCTTTTGTAATATGCTCTGCTATTCTTGTTGCGCTGTATCCTGATTTAAACAGCTGACCTCTCCATTTTTCTCTTGTGATTCTATTATCCCCTCAATATCAGATAAAGGTCGATTATGTTTTACTAAACTGTACACAATATTGAAAACGTTGATGGTAGCATCAATATTTTTATTGTTTTGTTTGTGCACTAAATTAGAAATTGAGTCATTAACTGATTCCTTTAACAAATCCTGAATTTTACCATGAGCTTTAGAAACATCATGTTCCCTAATTTTTTTCCACAGAGAAGCTTGTCTAGTAGTTTTATTATTGCCATTAGGGATTACTAAATATGCAATACACTCCTTAGACACATGGACACGCTTTTCTGCTTTTGATCCCAAATGCCAAACTGTGGAGCAATCCTTACATCCTAATTTACTGTCCTTTATTTCAAGCCATCTGTACTGTTCAGTAAACATAAGCGCTTGTTTTTCATTCCAACAACCTGGAACCATAAGATGATCTATTTCTTCCTTCGGTGAAGATGACGGATTTTGATTTTCTTCGACAAGTGGTCTGTTCAACATATTCAAAATTTGATACCTTTGGCTTAGACAATCCACAATGATTTGTTTCTATTATTACTTTCTGTGTCTGTTTTCAATTTCTTCACATTTAAAAATTGTGAAAAATCAGCCTGCCGTTTTGGCATTTTAGGGAACAGAATCTGAAAAACAATTTTATACATGTAAGGATAATTCATGATAACACTTTAAGGGTTAATGTAAAATGTTCTGCTAATGATTTATTTTTGTAACTTTAGAAATAATTTTTTTTTGTATATCACTATATACAATCTGATGAAGATTTCACATAAGCCACTTTGTGGTCACTCAAATAAATTCTAAACAAAGTACTTGCCTTGATTTTGTTTATACCTATAACTTGAGTACGACTTGCTTTTTCTTGAAAAACTATCAGTTTTTTAAATTCTATGGCTAATAAAAATGCCACAAAAGCTGACTATAAGTGTTTGATTATTTCCAATTCAACAAGAAGTTGTTCATATGATTTACAAATTAATTCAGTTCCAATGTGAAGAGTTGTTGATATTTTCATTTGCACTAGTGAATAAGATGAAAGTGAAAAAATGGTGAACATCAGAACTCCGCTCACTCATCCATGTTAACAACATCTCTGCTGAACCAAAGAACAGTTTTCAACTATTGCAAGATTTTCTCAATTTTTTGTATAGCATATAGTCTAACAGACATATCACATTTTTAGGCTGAATCTGCATTAACATTTTATCCATCACTTTCTTAAGTTTAGACAATCAGCAAATAGATCAAGCTCTGAGTGATAAATCAATAATATATTAAGCAGAACACTGTCATACAGTATTCTACCAAACAGATACAATAGATGTAAAGAACCTCAAGTGCGCACAGATATTTTGATGAGTTTTGAACAATTACCTTAAATGTAATAATTTATTTAGTTGTAAATTTAAATATTTTAATTCTTAATAACAATTATGTGTTACAATCAGGTCAAAAATTCCTGAAAATTTAACAATTGGTTCTTGCAAGCCAGTTAAGCCACCTTGTAAACACTAATGCACTTAATGGCAGAACTGAAAAAACAGAAATATAACATACTTACATCACTATGATAGGTGCTGGTTTCTTTATCATCCCCACAGACCAAATCAATGTATTCAAGAACAGGTCTTAATGGTCCTTCCTAAAAAGGAAGGGGGGAAATTTGCAAGTCACAAACCAAACTTGCATTTACAAACAATGGGGTTTTTTCTTGGAATTTTTAAGAATTCCTATGAGGAGGAAGCCTTACAGATGGCACAGAATGATCAGAAAAAAAGGCAGCACAGGAAAAGATTCAGAGTAGATAAGCATATAATGACGACAAAACCCAAAAAGAGACTAAATATTCATAGAGAGATAAAGCCAGGTAAGCTCCTTTGGAAATGGGACATAGTACAGAAATAGTATGAAAAAGACAAAAATATCACATGTTATTTTTTAACTGGGATGGTTATCTAAAATAACCTTTTAGATACCTAAGATTGAAATCATGTAATTATTTGATGACTTTGCTTCCTACACATCTTTATGTAATCAAATATTAATCCCTGAATCTTCTCAACCCTTTCTTTACATACATGCTATCTGTAAAGTATACCAGGCCTTATATACTCCAGTCAAAAACCTAGATTTTATTCCAGAGGCAAAAGAAACAATACAGTTCTGAAATGTCAGCATTAGAGGTGTGTTTCAAGATTAGGAGAGTATGAACTGTGGGAAGACTAATAACGATAATCCAGACAAATGGTGACGTAACACAAGTAGGGAGGGCAAGAACAGTGAGGACATACACTCTTCTGTATATATGCTATATCGAAACAAAATCTGTCTCAAAGATAATGGCTCTCTTTGTGCCTCCAAATTTTTATCATTCTTTTCAGCATGTTGTGTTTATTCTGGGGCCATGCATGGCAGAACACAAAGAGGCTGTGCCGTAATGCACACTGAAGGCCAGAAAGAGCTACATGAAAAGCCTAAGGAACCGAGCCAGTATACATCAAGTGGTAACATACTTCTGGATAGAAGATATGAAAAGAACAGAATAAAAGATACTGTTTTTGTATCTGAGGAGCTGTCAAGCAGAGAACTATCACCAACAGCATTTCATCTTTATGGATGGTACTATAAAAAACACAGAGAAATAAGCATATTCTAATGGAGCCCAGCAGAGGATTGCATTACAGAAGAAAATCCTGTCTCTGAATGTATTTTAAAGTAGAATTAAATTACCTTATTTTTTTACTGTCACACCATATAAAGGCAATAGGAATATTTTACTAGGATTTTTCTGGTACTACCATTCCACTTAGACCATATGGCAGACCTTGGAGATACTGTGATTTGGTTCTAGACCACTGAAATAAAGTGAGTCAAATGAATATTTTGGTTCCCAGTGCATAAAAAAGCTATGTTTACGCTATTACGTTGGTTTATTAAGTAAGCAATAGCATCATGACTAAAAAACAATGTACATACCTTAATCAAAAAGTACTTTGAAGGGAGGGACAAAGGGGAAAAGGGGTATTATGATTAGCACACATAATGTAGGGGGGGCATGGGGAAGTCAGTATAGCACAGAGAAGACAAGTAATGATTCTACAGCATCTTACTATGCTGATGGACAGTGACTGTAATGGGGTATATAGTGGGGAGTTGATAATGGGGGGAATCTAGTAACCACAATGTTGCTCATGCAATTGTATATTAACGATACCAAAATAAAATAATAAAGTACTTTATTGCTAAAAATGTTAACCATCTAAGTTTTCAGTGAGTCATCACTTACTACAGATCACTACAACATAATAATAATAAAAAATTTTTAAATATTGCAAGGATTACCAAAATGACAGAGATACAAAGTGAGCCAATGCTGTTGGAAAAATGGTGCTGATAGATTTGGTTGATGCAGGGTTTCCACAAACCTTCAATTTATAAGGAACACAATTATCTGTGAAGCACAATAAAACAAGGTATGTCCATACGAATTCACATCTCCTTATGGAGCTGTCAAACATCCAGTCCTCCCCCTCTAAAACCAGGCTAACGCTAAGAGGTTCTAAGCTGCATGTACAGAACTTTGGATTCCAATATACAATGTTCTCTATATCTTCAAAAAATTTTAAATTAAGAGTGTTAAACCTCAGCTGAATAAAATCTTAACTTTGGTGATTCGATTCCTTCTGTTTCTCAAGTAAGGTATAAACATATGTGTCACTCCAGTTATAACTGCACAAACCATCAAGATCACAATGCCCATTCATTTCTATCTTTATACCATGGTCAGGAGGAACCAAGATTATTTTTCCTTAACACCCATGGAATCTTCCTTCTAAATGTTTTTAGTACAAAAACAGACACTGTGGCTCTTCATAGCTACATCACTTACTCCTCATCACAGGGAGGTAGGGTCAACACACAACCCTCCTGGCACCCCCAAAATTCCAAGTATTAAGACTGTCATATGCACCATTAACAGGGAAGATTGTCAAGGAAATTCCTTGTAAGGAATTTCTATAGAGCCCTACTAGAACAACACACAACAATACTAACACCACAATGTTTATGAAGGGAATTTTGATTTCAAAAGAAGTGATTTATGAGGTGGCCCTAAACCAATACCAACTAAGAAACACACCAACGTTAAATAGACACCCATTTACAGAAAAATTATACACCTTTAATAGCAAACCTTCATTAATCACTGGGGTAGGAGTGTTTTTAGCTAGCTGAGATACGACTTGAAACTGAGCCTTCATAAAACTTGAAGAGTTTGGGGTGAAAATTAACCCAAAATACGTTGTACTCCTTGCATTTGTGCCAAAATGTATTTGTGCTCTGAAATGCTGATTCAACAGGTCTGGAGTGGGGTCCAGCAATGCACATTTACAGCTACTAATGCTTGAAGACAACTGTCCCAAAGAGAATAAACTTACAAAAATATGTGTGCTCGGTGATGCAAGGATCTTCATTATGAACATCAATGTGTGACAAAAAACACACATTTTATTGCTAAAAATGCGGTGTCCCTATGATGTAAACATGATGTTCTCAGAGGTTAGCCTTCAGGCTATCTGGTAGTGAAGCTGCACAATGCTCACACTTGGGAGTTCTTGCAACCCTTCTTGGCTTCTACCTCCTTCCTCATCATTGGACCTCGCTTCTCCCTAACCTGTGTCACCTTCTAGAAAATACTCAGCTCCACTTCAAAACAGTCTTAAGAAACGAGAACTCGGCGTGTAGATTAAATATAAAACGGCTCTAAACCAAGGCACGTCTTTGTGATGGCTCCTGTGCTTGCTCAGAGACCTCTTCTGGTAAACTTCCTGATCCCGGGCCATGCTCCACAGTGTCAAGCACCTTCCGGACATTGTCACATGTTCGCGGAGTATCAATGAACAGGCGAGGTATAATCCCCTAATGGCTTACCGCGCACTGTCTCTGACTCTGGAAAAACCCGAATACGTTGCTACTTACACTAACAAACTGAATGTCATCTTCGTTTTCATCCGTTGTTGACTCAGACGGCTCAGGCCCGGCTGGGGGGGCAGATTCTATTATCTATAAAAAATAAGCCAAAACACGCTTACCTATTCAGCCATATGCTTGCAGGGAAAGACTTTTCCAAAAGGAGAGACAAAGAAAGAACTTTCTAAAACGAAAAGCTCTTGAGGAAACCCGACTGAGCCCAACCCCACGCAAGAACGCCCGGCTAAGAACAGCACGATGCAGTCAGTCGGCTCGTGCCCCTGCGTACGCGGAGCTGCGGGGACCGGACGCTCGTCCACTCACCTCCGGCCCTGGATCTCCCATTTCTCGGAGGGCCCGACAGTACCACCTTTCTGGTTGCCGCCGCCGCCGCAGGCTAAACAGGTGCTGAAACGCCTCAGAAGGAGGCGCAGCCCGCTCTGCCCGCAGGTGCCCCAGCAGCCGCTTTCGCACTGTCCCGCCTTGTCGTCCCCTCGCCGCGCAGGATGCTGGGATTTGTAGTTCTGGTCGCGCCCGAGCCGCCCCTCTCCCACCGCGCGTGTGGGTGGAGATGTAAAGGGACCCCTGCTATGGCGCATGCGTTTCGCCAGGTGCTCCTCGACTGAAGTTGAGTAGCTTTTCTCTCCTAACCTGTCCCTCTCTCTTTTTAAGTCCAGAGAAGTTTTTAATAGACCATTGGTGTTAAACTAACTCTCCGAGGTTTTCTCGGATATTTCCCTGCCAATAGTGGCCGACCGAATCTTATGAAGATTTGCACTCAAACGATTGTGAACAGATACAATTTATGAAACCAAATGGTAACTGAGACCGTTCTTTTAAAGCTTTTTCTCCTTGTCCTGTCATCCTACCATCACCGGACAAATCTGTAGGCCCACGGAATCGCTTTTATGATACTGGTCCTGGCATACAGCGAATAAGATCAGACAGCAGAGGAACTGTGCGGCATCCCACCAGACTAAGGATCATCGTAGGAAATTTTAAGGAAGACTAGAGGTAGGTGAAATCTGAGTGAAAATAGTGTTTTGATAGGTTCAAAGCCAATTAAGACTGTGAAGAGTTCAGTGTCCCATAGGAACTGCGAAATGGACCCAGGGTCCTATTTACTTGGAAATTACAAAATTAACATAGTTACTAAACTTTGTGTCCAGAAACCCATTAACTATAGGCCTGCCCTGGGTTTGGAATATGAGGCTGGTTCTCTTTGTCAAAATGACCCGCCAAGGTGTCAGAGTGGTCAGATACTCAATGATTTTAGAGAACAAAGTTGCTCATTGAGTAAGAAAGCAGTAGTAACGAAAGTCGCTTTGACTTTACAAATGTAGTATTTTCTTTTGGAGAAATGTCTTGTTCATTTCTCAGCTGACTTGTATCTATGTCTGTTATTTGAACCCAGCAGATATTTACTTTCTCAGATGGTGGTCCTGTTTTTGCTGGTCTAAATTATAAAATGGTAAATAATTACTTATGTTTTTAGCTTGTATTAAATGAATCTGTTAAATTTTTTGCATTTGCACATAGTGCACTAAAATTACAAGTGCATTTGTACCAACTAAATTTGGGACTTGTAGAGGAAAGTTAAGAACAAGAGATTTGCAAATATGATTGCCTGAAAACGTATACATTTACCATTTCTAAATCCCACAAATGCTAGGAGAGATTTGCATTTAAATGATTTTCCTAATGTGCTGCCAACAGTTCAGTGGAACATGTACTTTGATAGGTTACAGGTGGCAGTTTTTCAGTTAAGCACTTGGAAAACAGGCAGGAAGTATGTGGCTAGAGCCTGAATATATGACTTTCAATTCAGTAATTATGGCAGGGGTAGTCTTTTTCATTTTAGATATTTAATAGGTATGTAGTGATATGGCATTGTCACTTTAATTTGTATTAAGTTAATGACTAACAATGTTGAACATCATAAAGTGTTCATTTACTCTACCCTTATATATCTTCACTGGTTGTGTCTGTTAAGATCTTCTGCCTATTATTTAAGTGAGTTATTTATTTTCTTATTATTGAATTTTGAGAGTTGTTTGTTTATTTTGGGTATAAATCCTTAATAGAGATGTGATTTGCAGATCTTTTGTCCTAGTCTGTGACTTGGCTTTTCATTTTCTTAAAATTGTCTTTCAAGCAGAATTTACTACATTTTATGGAGTCTAATTGATCAGTTTTTTACTTTTCTTGATCATGCTTTTGGTAGTGTATCTAAGAAATTTTTGCCTAAGTAAAGTTACAGATATTTTCTCCTTTGTTTTTGTGGGGAAAATGGAAGTTTCTATGGCCAGGATCCTCACCTGACCCTAAACTACTTGATAATATAATTGGCTTACTGTTAGGCTAATGCTTTCATACTGGTTGGCAATGAGCTGTTATTGCCTGAGTCACTATATAAAGAGCTCTGCCCAGTGCTCTTGGCAGAGGCAGAGACAGGAGGATTACAGGCCACTGGAGTGCTAGGTGCAGACGTGATCCTAGTGCTCCATCTACCACTGTAAGAATTAAGCCAAGTGTAGAGAAAATGAAAGTTCCTGTGGGCAGGATTCTCACCTGACCCTGGTAGGCTTGCTCACTGCACATGTGTGGGCAATACATTATTATTGACTCTATATAAAGAGCTCCACCCAGTGCTCTGAGCTGCATGGACACAGGAGAACAGAGGCTGGAGGTGGGGCAGTGCCTAGGACAGAGACTGAGACGGCTGTAGGGGAGGAGAGGCCCAGAGGCAGAGACTTGCTCTGGGGGAACTCTGGCCCCTCCCACCATTCATGGACCCACCTGCAAATAGCTGGACCAGGAAAAACCGGATCATCAATAGTATGTGTTCAAGAAAGGCGTAATATCAGCACAAAGATTTTATAAGAAAAAATTTGAGAAAGAGCTGCAAAATGGACCAATGTGTGAAGGACATTCACAGAAAAATATCTTAGAATAGATGAAGATGCTGACTGCACTTTCCACCACAGGGTAAAAATCTTAGTGAAACTATGAACATCATGTAGGAAGAGCACAGAACACACATGCAGGAGCTCATAAATTAGTAAACTTCTTTTCTTGGACACTTTTGCTGCCTAATTCTATACTTAGAAAGTCCTTCCCCTTCAGAAAACATAAAATATTCATGTATTTTTTTCATCTGAGTCCGATGTTTACTTTTTATTAATCTGGAGTGCTTTATTAAATATGTTTTAAAAAATAAATATAACAATTATTTTTCATTAACTGGCTGTCTTAGTATCATTTATTGGATAAACCTTCTTTACCTTACTTATTAAAGTTTCTACTTTAACTGGATTCTAAATTCTTATATATATGAATACATAATATATGCACGCATATACACCTATATGCGTGCATATATACACATGTATACCAATTTCTTTTTGGGCACTGTATTCATTTTCAGTAGTTTTCTTAATTTGTAACTCATTTAGAATCAGTATATGAAGCTGAATTTAAAAGAATACATACACTCTTGCCTATAAAAATATCAACACATCTCAAAATATTTTAAGGAAGAACCATAGAAGTTCCAGTTGAATAATACAGTTATGTTTTGTAAGGCAATTTTATTTACATGTCAGCAAAATATATTATGAAGTTTTTTAAGGAAATAACATGTCTTAATAAGATCATCCTTTTTTGATAAAAATTTTAACCTCCCTGGACATTGTGTATATATCCTGCATAGCACTGGACATTTACCATGCACATTTCCTATATATCCTACATAGTATGGCTACGCAGAAGACGGAGGAGCCAGAGACACATAATCCAATTATAATGGTAATGCCTCAGTGTTTGGGTAAGGAAGCCGTCAGCCTAGAAAAGGATGTTTTCCCTGAATTTTATGCATTAATAAGAAACAGGCAATACTTTTTATGTTTTCAGTGGGATTTATTTACATTTAAGTAAAAGCAAATATTAACACAAGTTATTTCCTTAAGAATATTTATTTTGTACAACCACACTGTTATCAAGCAACATTTATGGAATGTTCCCTGGGTCTACAGTACCTAACTTTCTATTATATGGATCTTCTTTTCCAAGTTTAAACATGACCTTGTGCACGGAGGAAGCATGGCTTGGCATTGTGGAGTTGCCATGTGTGATAAGCTGACATCAAAAGAGAAGTCTCTAGATGAAGAATGCTTTATTTTGCATTCATTTACAAAGTGGTATTTTTCCTTTTGCATGATTATCAAATCCATGCGATTTTGCTTTCAGTTCTTTTTTCTTCTGATACAATGAAAACAAACCAGTTAAAACTAAGCAGTGTAGCAATATAACCAACCAAATCAGAGGATGTTATATCTTACATAGGATGTTTTAGATGATACTGGTGTTTCATCTTACACATTTGTATTTAACACAATTTGGGCAATTAAAAGAAGCATGTAAACAAAGTTTTCTGTAAGTTGATGTGTTATTTTAACACTCATGAAAACTTGGGTTTATTTCTCTTCCAGGAGTGCAATGGAATAGTTTCAAATTAGAATAAAAAGGACTTGCTACTCTCATTTTTTCCAGATACCAACTTTCTGCATTTTTTTAGATAACAGAATAATCCTATAATTTTATTGCTAAACCACTATTACTTGGTTAGATAAGATGATCAGTTTTCAGGATGACTTTCCTGCTTTCATGCTGGTGGACATTGATCATTTCACTGTTAATTTTTCCAAACATGTGCTTATGCTAAAGATCCAAAAAAAATGGGGAGTCATTGGTAATAATAAATGTACAGCAGTTTCTTAGGACAATGACAAACCTTAGAGGTTGAAGTTTTTGTTGCTATGATCAGAGCTCTGACTATCCTGTTAAGTTAGCTGTACAAAGAAGCATTATTTGGGGACAGGAAATGCATATTTCCAAGAAACCACATTGCATGCATATTTAACTGCTAGACATTCTCTGGTTTGGTGCATCCCTGATATTTAGGGTGGAATCTACTTGTAGCTTCTTCAGCAGTTTGTTGCTCCATTAGGAGACCCAGTGATGTTAAAGATGGCTCGGGGCCTGTCAACACACATGTCGCTCTGTGCTCACTGCCAGGGAGGTTGCAGGTTTTCCAACAAAATCCAATATTAGATTGAGAACTGAAAGTGCTTTGTTTCAGATGACTATGATACCTACAAAAAGCAAATTTCAAAAAACAGCAGATTTATGTTAGAGTTCTTACAGCATTTTGACATGAGTTACTTATTTTTATGTCTACCACAAATTTGTGCTTTAAAACACAAATTGTTAATAAGAACTCTTAACTACTGAGGTGAACGAGGAATTATTTTATGATCTACTCAGAGGAAGTCTGGCATAGGTAATAGTTAAAATATTAAACATACATTTTTATCTCAAATGATTTTTAAAGTACTGTTTATTAGGTGAAAAATGCTGACCTCACATTCCACCACAGGGTAACAATCTTAGTGAAACTATCAACCTCATGTAGGAAGAGCACAGAACACACATGCAGGACCTCATACATT